AGGGACATTTTAGTAAAGATTGTAGTCATGGGTCCTGTAAAGTTTGTAAAGGTAAACATAATACCCTGTTGCATCATTATCAGGATCAAGGAACTTATTCAATTAATCACATTACAAATTCAAATATGCGAGCAGCTCAAGCTCAGTCATTACAAGTAACAAATAATGGCACCAATTGTCATGAATCAAATAACGCGACAGAGCTAGCTGTGTCTAATTTCTCAAAAACTAATAATACATATGTTTTACTGTCTACTGCCATCATTAATATATGGGATGATAATGGTCAAGTTCATCAGGTAAGAACTGTTCTTGACAGTGGTAGCCAGACTTCATTTCTAACAGAAAAATTATGCAAAAAACTTAACCTAAAGCAAATAGATGCAAATCTTTCAATAGTGGGGATCAATCGTGTCACTTCCACCCTACGTTATAAATGCAATGTTTCTATTGGATCTACTTATGATTCAGATATCTTCAATTTAACATGTTTTGTCCTACCTAAAATTACAGAAAATTTACCTATTTATAACATTGAAGGTTCTAAATTAAATATTCCTAAAAACATTTCTTTGGCAGATCCTTCGTTTCATAGATCACAATCAGTTGATATGCTTATTGGTTCCGATTTATTCTGGGATATACTTCGAAATGGAAAAATTTCTCTGGGTAAAAATCTTCCTGTCTTACAAAACACATGTTTTGGTTATGTAGTTGCCGGGTTGTGGTCACAAAATGTCGATAAGGTCCAATGTTTTTTTGTACAGAATGATCAAGTACAGAAGGATCTTGAAAAATTTTGGTCAATAGAAGAAGTTTCAAATACAAAGTTAATTTCTCAAGAGGACAACATATGTGAAGAACATTTCAAGAATACATATTCTAAAGATTCAACTGGTAAATTTATTGTCAAGATTCCATTAAAAGAAAGTAGAGAACAGTTAGGAGATTCAAAAGACTTAGCTGTGAGGAGATTTCTAAATCTTGAAAGACAATTTGAAAAAGATCTTCAATTAAAGAATCTTTATGTTTCATTTATGCAAGAATACCAGGCACTTAACCATATGTCAATTGACACATATTTCGATGACAACATTTGTTCATATTTTCTACCTCATCACGGGGTGCTCCGCAATGAAAGCCTTAGTACACGATTAAGGGTTGTTTTCAATGGTTCTGCTAATACAACAACTGGTAAGTCTCTTAATTCTATTCAGTACGCAGGACCAGCTATTCAAAATGATATTTTTGCAATATTGTTAAGGTTTCGGTTTCATAAATATGTAGTTATTTCAGACATCGAAAAGATGTATCGGTGTATTGATGTCCATCCAGATGATAGACATTTACAAAAAATATTTTGGAGAGAAGATGTACATCATCCTCTTTCAATTATGACCTTAAATACCGTGACATACGGTACCTCGAGTGCTCCATATCTCGCAATGAGATGTTTAAGACAAATTTCTTATGATTGTCAAGATAATTTTCCATTAGAATCCAAATTAATTCATGAGGATTTTTATGTCGATGATTTGATTACAGGTTTTGATGATTGTGATGTTGCGAAACAAACCTGCAGAAACATTTCTAATATACTGCAGTCAAGTGGTTTTAATTTACGCAAATGGGTTTCCAATGATCCTGTCATTATAGAACATTTAAAGAACAATGCCGATGAACTTAGCGTCTTAAACTTGGGAAATTCAGATCCTGTAAAGACACTAGGAATACAATGGATTCCTAAACTCGATATTTTATGTTACAATATTCCAGAAATCAAACAAAAACCAATCTCCTTAATTTCAAGAACAGATCAATTTATTATTTTTAATAAATTTTCTACTTTTCGTAAACTGTTGCGAGTCCACAGTTATTGTTTAAGGTACTTAAGGAACCTACTTAATTCTAGCAAAAATAGAAAACTACCAGATGCAACATCCAGCAATCATGGCTCTCGCAAAAATCAGTACATCCCCTTTTTATCACAAGATGAATTAGAAAAAGGTCGATTAACCCACTCTGGGTTAGAGTATAATCACAAACATCCTTTTTTATTAGATGGTAAGCATCGGCTTACTCAGTTGCTAATTGAGGATGAACATTTAAATTTATTTCATGCAGGTCCACAATTATTATTGTATACTATAAGGCAGCAATACTGGCCAACAGGAGGCATGAATGCAGTAAAATCTGTTGTTAGAAATTGCATAACATGTCACAAATTTAAACCAACTCAAATTACTCCATTCATGGCCGATTTACCTCAATCTAGAGTAAATATTTCATTTCCATTTGATCACACCGGTGTTGATTATGCAGGACCCTTTGTCCTTAAAGATCGCAAAGGTCGTGGTTGTAAAACGTATAAAGCATACATCTGTTTGTTCATTTGTTTCAGTACAAAGGCAGTTCATTTAGAATTAGTCACTGCTCTTACGTCCGAAGCATTTATCGCAACATTTCGAAGATTTGTTGCTCGCAGAGGTAAACCATCTCACATATATTCGGATAATGGGACTAATTTTGTAGGTGCAAAAAATGAGTTAAATATATTGTTTAAGTTTTTGTCTACCTCTTATGATACATTTTCAAACTTTTTCACAAATAAAAATATTCAATGGCATTTTATTCCGTCGAATTCTCCGTCATTTGGAGGATTGTGGGAATCTAACATTAAAAGTGTAAAACATCATTTACTAAGGACAATTAAAAATGTTTTATTAACGTATGAAGAATTTGTAACGATACTAACACAAATTGAGGCTACGGTAAATTCCCGTCCCCTTTACCCTATGTCCTCAGACCCTAATGACTTTTCACCCTTAACCCCATCTCACTTCTTGATTGGAAGACCACATACTGCTGTTCCTGATCCAGCTTTTGGTGAAACGGTAAAACTGAACCAGTTAACAAGATTTCAGCTGCTTCAACAATTGCAGCAAAGTTTTTGGAAGCAATGGTCTACTTCCTACCTTTCCAGCCTTCAAAGCAGATATAAGGGCAAACAAAAGGTACCCAATTTGGAATGTGGTACATTGGTGACCATCAGAAATGAGAATGTTCCTCCATGTCAATGGATTTTAGGACGAATCAGTGAAGTTCACCCAGGTCCAGACGGCGTAGTACGAGTCGTTACAGTGAAGACGTCGAAAGGAACTTTAAAAAGAGCTGTAACTAAAATATGTCCTCTACCAGTATTATTGAACCAACCGTTCAAGGCGGGGAATATGGTGAAAACTTGAATCAACGTGGCAACGTTGTGTTCCGGCCGACCATGCGGAGTCGGCTTTAACAAGTAGCCTCTCTTAGCCAGCGACCATCGAACAAGCCAGTCAGAAACTATACAGTCCATTTCATTTCATTTTATTTAATGTTTCAAATGTTAATTTTATTATAGTTCAGTTAAATAAAAAGTGTATAACGTATGCAATTCATTTCTACAGACAGTAAAGCAGTAGCATGATCAAACGCACTGTTGGAGGAAAAAACGTGTCCAGGGCAGCCAAGATTCGAACTTATGAAACAATAGTAAGACAAACAGTATTGTATGCAAGTGAAACTTAGACAATGAATCAAAAAGAAGAAAAAAAATTAGAGATTTGGGAGAAGAAAATGAAAAAACCATGAGCTAATGGAGATCTATAAATGATATAAAATGGTATTGGAGCACAAATTAGTCAAACTGTTCACGTCTAAATATGAATCAATAGAACGATATAACAGATATTTTAGCATCTCTCCTTCGTCAGCAGTTCGAGCTGATTCCTATTCAAACCAAAAACTCTAACTAATAGTGAGTTAAAGTGTAGGATAAAACGTTAACGTATAATTTGATAGCTACTCGTTAGTTAGCAGTAGAGGAATACACACGTTTGCGTTAACGGGTCTCCGTAACCTTGCGTGCGTTTACGAATTCCCTTAACGTTATCCAAATTGTTCCGAGTATCACCGAATGTCTGTTAAATCTCCGGAAATTAAAAATGTTTGTTGTTTTGTGATTTTAACCCAAGATTTATCTTTTATTTGTGTTATGGTAACCTAAAAATAGTGAAAAAAATCGTAATGTATAAAAAGTAAGGTTAGAAACACACGTTAGACGTTAATGTTTTATACTTCACGTTAAAACGTATAGTTGCCGTAAACGTAATTTCTTTTACGTTTGTTTACGTTAATGTTAACGTTTACGAGTTACCTGCACTTTAACTCTCTAATGTCTCCAAAATCTTCCAAAAAATACAACAGCTCTGATCCTAGCAATGGATTAGGGTGCAACAGTCACTTTTAAGGCATATGACCTATGCCGATCTTTCCGAGAACTTATAAGAGAAACCGATGGTAAATCTTCAACTAAAACATTTTGGTATGGTATGGGTGTACTAAATTTGAAGAGAGTGGAGGTCGTAACTCATTGGCAATAGTACTGACTTACCAAGTCGGACGGTCCAGGTTCAATCCCCCGGCATAGACAGCAGAAATTTTTCAATTTCTAATTTAACTGAGTATCCATCGTACTTCGGAGTATGACTGAGCCAGATGGTTACATGAATGGGAGATGTACAATAAGCCAATTGGCTATAGTACAACTGGTTATTACAACAAAACAGCTTCCCAAAAAAGTTCGATGAGAACTAGTATTTGATAAAGGTATTAAAAAAAGAAAAATTGGTATTTAAACCAAATCATTACTATGCCAAGATAGTATCACGAAGGTTTTTTAGAAATGATAGAGAGATTTAAACATTTTTTTATAAACATCTTAAGATTGTCTTGTTGCTAATTAAGTTACTTATTTAGTCAACATAAGATTAAATTATTATCATCAAATTATTATATGATTAAAAGTCCATTTTTTTAGAGATCCAAAGAACCAACAGATCTGTTAACTTGTTAACTGAGAAACTTTTGTAAGAACGAGTTTATTTTAAAATTTATGATTTCTCCGAAGAGGTTTTTTAAAAAAGATGATGTGGATGATGATTATTAGTAAAACACTCACTATAGTATAATATATTATATAATTAATACACAATTGAAATAAATGTAAAATACAGAATTATAAGGGATTTTATACTTAGATATTCAATATATATTTACACGATTAATGTTGTCAATTAGTAGAAAAAAATATTAAAAAAGTAAAATACTACATAAATATATATCAGTTTCGGAAACAATTTATGGTGGGGATTAAAAAATTAGCGAAATATCTAACAAAGATACAGTATGTTGTCACTTATTAGACAAATATCACAATCGTATTTCCCCCTAGTCTCTTATTACCATTCTGGATGAAAGCATATCATAACCTGTGCGATAAACCGATCGAATTACATTCTTCGAAGTAAAATATTGCATTTATTTCAGAAATAGCTATGCGTGCCAATTAAATATTCAATATTCCGACTGTTTACACAACTAAAGAAGAAGCACAAATAATAAAAATTTGTACTTTTGGGGGCCATTCTTTACAAGAAACTATTAATTTATGTATTAGTTTCTAAAAAGTTTGGTCGTACCAATGGCAGATGTAACAACTGCTGCCCTTCAGATCAACCTAGGGAAAAAAAATTAGTCAAGAACGAGAAATTATAAAAACCCGAGTCTGTCCTTTGGCTGAAGCGACACCGTGTTCAAGTAAACAAATTTCCGATGACGTTGACTTGAAAGAAAAAAACAGTGAGAAATATTTTGAAAATATACAACTACCAATGTTATAAAATACGGACTACTCAAGAAATATTTCCTGATCATCATTTTCAACGGATATAATTGTGTGAAATCATATATTATCAATATTATTGGTCATTGTTTCATCGAAACGTAGTAAACTATCGTCAATTACTGCAAAATTAAATTCCTGCACTTCAGCATCTTGAAATAAATTTAAACGAAATTTGGTTTCAAAAAGACGGCTATCCTTCACATAATGTATAGGCCATTAGAAACGATTTTGCTTTAACTTTTCAAGAAAGTGTGATTAGTATACAACGTAAAAAATAAAATGGCCCCCTCGGTAAGAAGACTTGGCTCTCCTAGATTTTTGGGGAATGCCAAATACCAATTTGTACAGGAATGAATTCGAGCGAGCCACCAACATGGAGCAACTGAGATAAAATATAATTGAACTTCGAAGCCAAAACATCTCGGCAAATGAACTCCACGCCATGAGAAAGGCGTTGTATAATAGATTTGGTTCCTATTTGGCACAAGATAGTTTGTTTGAACATTCAATTCGCTAAGAATTTTACTTGGTTTAGAATTTCTAATTGTTTGGAACAGTAGTGTTGAAATTATTTTTTATTTTATTTCACTTTTATAGAACTAATTTTATTATCACAACTACTACTTTCAAAAAATCTAAACAAAAATATGGTTTCAAAGATACTATTTGGAAAATACCAAATATCCCATTTTAATCTTAACACGTTGCCTGCCATAGAGGAATTTGTAATACCTTCCGTTCACACCAAGACCATTTCTGCATATGGTCGAAAAAATTACCGCTCACGCCATGGTGTGCTGAGGTGCCATTATAGCCTGTAATGATTCATGTTTAAAAATTTTCAAAATTCCTCTTCTTACAAAAAAAAATTGCAAAAGTATTATATGTGCCGTCCAATGTAACGTCTCGCGGTCACATTGACCGAGACGGCACCACAGTCACGTTAAAATTCTCGGTCAAATAGACCTCAATTGCGTGCAGGGTAATTTTTTTTCTCGGTCAAATATACCGAGACGGCAAACAACGTGTTAATTGAGTACATCCTTCCGTCGATAGTCAGTTAATACCGAATTAATATTCCCTTTTAGTAATAGAACAGACCCGTGGCCACATCTACCAAACCAAAGTCTCACGGCAAATTTTCTGAAGCTTTTTCTTGTGGCATTTTAATATAATTTATTATTTTTATTGGGAATAAACCACAATTTGACTTTAAAATAAGTGTATTTGACGTTTCTATATCAAAAATAGCAAGCTGCCATTTAAATCAATTAGCCCAAATTTAATTATCTTACGGATTTCCAATGCTAAAAAAGAGCACACCTCAAATAACAACAATAAGTTTGGCAAAAATGTTAACCATCCCTCTTGGAATACTTCCACTCTTTAATTCGGTTTATCCGCATACGGAAATACGGTTTAAACGGCATGCCTAATTATTTCCGAATCTGTATAATATATAAATAAATTAAGAGAAAAGAATTAACAAATAATCGAAAATTAAGATAAAATAATCGTTACAATTAGTTCGTGGTATACATAAAGCTAAAATTTAAGATTTCCTAATCACAAAATTACTTACGAAAAATTACTAAAATCTGTTTTTAATTTTATGGTTGGAGTAGTACTAGTTACTTGTTGATTAATATTAATGTCATTTTTAATTCTGCACTTCTGGGTCTGCTGATTCCGTATGGCATTTTCCAGTTTTAATCGGAGATCCTTAGAATGTAACATCATTCGCTTGAATTCCTAAAAGTTATTAAACCATGTACGCTCTACTAAACAAAAAAAAAAGAAATTGCTGATCCAAGAACGGACTTTTTGTGATTTTTATGTTTACCAGAAACTGTTGAAGATATAACAGCTTTTTATTTTACTCAAGTTTTTAGAACACTTAAAAAATATTCAAAAAATTAGAGCATTAATTTGTTAACAAATTAACAGACATTTTTTTTACGTCGAGACCTAAAAAAGTAAAAACGCATACCTATATGGTTCTGAAATTATTTTATTATGGCCATTTATATCAACGACTTTAATGGGAATAAAATACAATTCATCTGAAATTGTTCTCAAAATACAAATTAAACAAACTATTTTATTTTTTTACTTAGAAATAGAAAAAAAATCTTCAAATAGTTTCATATTATCTGTCCTACTCACAATGGTATTCTGGCATATGCTTTCAAATAGAATCACACTTCATATATATTCTCATTTAAGAAAAATGTCGATGTCGGTAAATAAAAAAATTTGTTCTATCACTATCTTGTAAAATGAAAAAGTAAATTGAACTATTCGACCATAAAAGCTTTCCAAATTATTCCAAGATAGTGTTTACTTTTTTACACAGTGACCATTGAATTTTGAAAGACCTTACGTCGTTATAGAAGCTGAACACGTTGAATAAACAGAAATTAGAAGTCAAAACTAATCACAAATGTATTGATTTTACAATTTATGCGATCTTTTCGCCAAGATATTTAAAATAGTGGTTTTGGAAAAAACCAAAGTTTTGGTTGGAAAAAATGGTTTCAATTTTACTCGTACCAGTAAGATATGTTATTGAATACTTTTTTTAATAAATATTGCAATGGAAATAAAGTATGTTCTTTGGATACCATTCTAATTTTACCTGTGGATATTTTGGTCCTATTTTCATTAGCCATTGCAAACTAACATCATGCAGTGAGGAAGTATATTTATTCTTTTTTGAAGAACCAGGAGATAAGTAGCTTACTAAGGCCGGTACCAACAACGTCAACATTTGTAGACCTAATAAAAGGCAAAAACAAAATGTGAATGATAAAAATTGTATTAATGTGTAATTAAATTGTGATATTATTCAATTCTAATAATTATGTCTACCTCTACAGAGGTATCGAATACATAACATGTAGTAGTGAAGGTACTAAATACTATGAAAGTATAATTTTCGCTATTAAAATTTACCTTTAGTAGTAACAGTGCTTCTTTGAGTACGAATTTTCAAATTTCTAATGGTTTAGCATATTTAGAAATCATCATTTAACACTGTGGCTGCCACGCCAAATCAGTGCCGAGTTCCGTTGGGCCACGACTTTTTTTTCTTCAAACTATTTCTAAATTACGCAATTAAAATAGTAAACACCATTTTTGACAAAAAATGTGTTTGATGTGTGCCAAAAGTATACGCGGCCCAGAGAATGGAAAATGCATCTGCGCGCCACCTGTATATTTTTATATACACATTTAAGAGTGGAGTTATCAAGTCTAGACTTGACGAAAACATTTATGATCAGTAAGCTCGAGGTGAGTTGTAAAGAAATATTCGCAACGTACTTTACGTTAATTATTGTGCATAATGTCTTACCAGAAAGAACAACAGAGATTGCAGAGTTTATGAGATGAAAATATGAGCGATGATACCGAGGATTCATATCACAATGACTCAGATAATGATCCTGTGTACAAACAAGATAGCTCGAGTGCTGGCAGTAGTGTATGGAATTCCAGTGAACCCAGGGTAAAAAGACGTAGGATTGAGAAGCTGGACCTTGAAGGTTAGTCATTTTTTCTTCTAGTAGTTTCTTTTGCATATTGTATAAAATTTGAGATTTTATTTACCGAGTGTTTCAAATCATCACCCAGGGAATTTTATTATTTACCAAAGTTAGTACACCAAAACGAAACTCAAGTTTGTTTTTCAATAAGCAATAAAAATTTAGTATCAAAAAGTAAGAAAATGTTATAATAATTTTAGTATGAATGAATCGTCAAAGATTTCTGCATTTTTTTTCTGACTAACAAGAACACTAGGAACATGAACTAACCTTTTCCTAAACTTTCCTAATCATTTTTTTTTGTTTCAGAATCTGAGGATTCCGAAGCACATGGTTCTTCAAATATTGAGCAAGATGTGTCGGATTGGAGCGTAGTTGTTGGAGATCCCAAAGACTTCGATTTTCATGGGGACATTGGTTTGGTCAAAGAAGTACAAGATACTATGGTCAAATACTATGGTATCCGAAACCAATTTTTATGCGGAACAAACCACAATAAAAGATAAAATTACAGATTATTGGAATCATTCTGAAATTTATTGGTCTGAAATCGAATGTCTCGAAACCGCTTCGAAAATATTCTAAGAATGTGGCATTTCCCTAACAATGAACAATCCGAAGAAGGAGACCGACTCAGCAAAATTCCATTCCTGGTCGACTCCATAAATGAGAAGTTCAAGTAAGTTATCCTTTTTGACGAAAATGTCTATATAGACGAAACAATGGTACCCTTCCCAGGATGCTTAATTGTTCGACAATATGTCAAAGGAAAACGGAATAAATTCGGAATTAAGCTCTTCAAACTATGTCTCAATGGAGAATATACTTACCATTCTAAAATATATTGCGGAACAGAAAAATCAAATGATATGCTGGTGGCCACTAAGATTGTTTTTGAACTTATGAGTGTCTTGATAAAGGCATGACTCTGTATACCGATAACTGGTATACCAGCACCGAATTAGCACAAAAATTACTTGAAAGAAAACCCCATCTTGTCGGCATACTCAGAACAAATAGGAAAGGTATTCCAAAAGAAATTTCAATTGTTGCACTCTTTAATTTAGTTGTTATTATACCCAGCTCACCCAAAACTGGCATTTACTAATTCTCTATTGCTCCATAATATTTTATTACCTTCTATTTATATTTGGAATAAATAAAACTAAAAAAGGCTTTATCTACCAATAATTACCAATGTTTTTATATAAATAATATTTACGTATAATAATAATAATATAATTATAATAAAAATATACTTACGTTTTCCAGGTTCTGCTAGTTCGATGAGAGATTCTATCGTGGTAATGGTTTCAACGGTGACTAAGAGCTCACCATCAGAATAAGGTCTTTTGGCAGCTTCTGAATATAAAAACTCCACTAAATGTGGGGCCAAGGAATGAATGTATGGAACAGATATCAACGGATTATGATGTGCAAAAATAGATTTTAAAGTTCTTACGCATTTTAATTTTACCTAAAATAAAATTTTAACATAAATTTAAGATTTTATGTCCTCGAATTGAAAAAAAAAAATTGAAACTTGACAAAAAATTATATAGGGGAGAAGTGGGAGGTCTGGGATATTTCAAATTTCCCACCTTTATATGTGAACTATCAGTTCTGTACTTTCTCACCCGATGTGTTACAGGTTGTAACATTTCCTATTCGTTTAGTATTGGAGAAGTACATGTGTTGTGATAAAGAGAGAACATTATTGATTTTCATTTTTGAAAGGTAAGAATTTAACTTGTTTGTAAATTATTTTTTCTGATTATTATAATATTTCAATGCAATATAGAAACCAATATAATGATAATCTTTTATTAAAGTTTGTAAATTATATAATACAAAAGGCTGTTTTGTAAACGACAATAGCGTTATTGAGAAACAGGATATATTGCTTAAATTGCCTGCACCAATATCATCTGGATGTACAGAGAGAGTGAAATCATTGTTTGTATTTCCCGTTAAATTCTCAAAATACAATGTACAATAAAGAAAAATTTATATTGTGTTGAACATTTATTACATCCTGTCCCGGACCTTCCTAGTAGTGTCCCACTCCTCCCAGTGGTATGAGACATTTGCAGCTCCTCACACTATCCATTATACTAATATATCATTATATTTTAAAGAATACTTTATCATCATCAGTTGGCGCTACAGCCCTTCGTGAGCCTTGGCCTGCTTCAAAACATTCTTTGATCCTTCCCTATCGAGTGTCTGTCTTCTCCAGCCCCTCACTCCAATCTCCCTCAAATCTTCCTGTACATCGTCCAGATATCTGAGTTTAGGTCGCTCCCTTCTTCTTCTTTTTCCGATCGGCCTGTTTAGCATAGTTATTTTAATGGTATCACTCTCAGCCATCCGCATAACGTGGCCCATCCATCTTAGGCGGTTTATTTTGATGGTCTTCACAATATCTGCATCACCAAAAAGTCTATAGAGTTCAAAGTTATATCGCCTTCTTCACAGACCCTGTTCGTTTACTCCGCCATATATGGTCCTCAATACTTTTCTTTCAAAGACTCGTAGTAACTCGTCATCTCGGGTCGTCATTACCCATATTTCCGATCCGTATGTGAGCACTGGGCGTATTATTGTTTTATAAAGTTTGCACTTTGTTGCTATTGACATACTTCTCGCTCTTAGTTGATGGCCCAGGCCAAAATAACAGCGGTTAGCCACGCATATTCTTTTTTTATCTCGTTGGATATATTATTTTTGTAGTCTACCAGTGATCCTAAGTAGCAGAATTCTTCTATTATTTCTATCGTTTCGTGTTGCACCTCTTGCAACTTGCACTTGCAAGTTATTTTGTTGAATTCTTGATATGGGCGGCATATATTTAGTTTTCTGGATGTTAATCAGAAGTCCGATGTTTTCTGCGGCATTTTTGATACGTGTGAAAGCCTCCACTGCTTCATTTATATAGGCTGAATTATTTAAATGGCTGAATACTTATATATCAGCCATTTTTTTTTAAATTGAGTACGCCAAAGGGATATCTAACATATCCTAGCATTATTATTTCAAAATATTATTCAAAAAGTGTCCCACACCTCCCACTTCACCCCTACATATAGTTGACAATTGTTGATGTTTTTGATTGAAGGTGTTTAACTGATTGGAAAATAGTTTTGGTTATTAGCATTCCACATCAACTTATTTAACCATGTCTTGCTTTTTTTTCACATTTTTGGTTTTATTTTTCAGACAAATATTTTATTGCAAATTGTTAAGAGCAACTCCATTAACAATCACTTCTTTCAAACCATTTCGAAGACCACATTGTGTGGTTCCTGTTTTCTCCTTATATTTGTGGTAAAATAACATTCAGATTCAAATCGTAACTCATCAAACTCACCAGTGATTAAACGTACTTGAAATTTTAAAAAACTTATTACATAGTATTTATTAACGATTTGGCAATCATATTTATAAATATTATTAAATAAGTAGACTACTACAGAACTCAATCTTCATCAACGGATCATACGACATTTGGTGTATGGAAGCGAAACGTGGACGATAACAAAGGCAAAGGAAGAGAGACTATGTGTTTGGGAAAGAAAAATCCTAAGGAAGATCTTTGGTGATGTGCTGGATGAAGCATCAGGACAATATAGGATAAGAACTAACAAAGAGCTCGAAGAACTTTACCCAGACGCCAACATCATAAAAGAAATAAAGTGCAGAAAACTCCAATCGGCAGGACACCTCAGAAGACATTCTGACGAACGAACAGTATGACTGGTGTGGGAGGAAGTCCCAACTGGAAGGAGATCACGCGGACGCCCTCGTCTCCGGTGGCGAGATAATATAGCAGGAGACTTAAGCACTATGAGCGTAGAGAATCGGATGGAGGTTGCTCAAGACAGAAAACAGTGGAGGCATGTTGTCGAGTCGGCTAAAACCCACGAAGGGTTGTAACGCTACGGAGTAAGTAAGAGTAAGTAAGTAAGGGGATTTTCCGATGACTAATTTCAATCATGTTCGATTTCATATCACGTCATAAATATAAATTTATTGATATTATGGGTTCTTTGAGCACTAAAAAGGGTTTTAATATAACACTCTCAAAATTATAGTTTTTCTTCAGTTTTTAATGATTCCACTACCTCTGCTTAAACCATCCACTTTTTTTCTGTAGATTAAATGAATCGCGCTTGGGGTTTAATATTTCTTATCTTTCGTGTCTTTTAATCTAGTACGTCGCAAAAGAAGACCTGCATAAATGTTGCAATTTAATAAATCTCTCCCTTATTCTGTACAGGGACTCTCATGTAAATCAGTACCCTTTACGCGGCAATTTTAGTCGTGTGTTAATTTTGTCTCGAAACTTTAAATTCATAACCTATACCAATCATACAGGTACAATAGGATTTAAGTATCTGGTTATTGTAAAGTGCGGACAAACTAAGATGATCTGAATGACCCATTTAATCATATAAACCTCTAAAAAAATTTCAGGTATACTTACTATAGAATCTGAACTTTCGAAGCCCTGCCTAAAATGGTTGATACAAGGATACTGAATATTGGGTACGGTAACTACTTTATAGGGAGCGTTCAATACAAAAACTGCTATCGCTAACATCATTGTGACTTCATCAAATTTATTACCATCACTTCTTGTCTTTGCTAGATCAATTATTTTCGCTAGAGCACTCTGAAGTAGTTTTTGCCAGTTGTTAGCAGTTTCTGGATGATTAGAATAATCATCTGTCGCCAATATTCTTAAACATTTCAATGCCTCTTGAATACATGAATTATTTGCTAACACTGTACTATCTGCTACCTGCTTTGTTGCCATTTCTTTTATAACTCCTGTTACCAGATGCAAAATTGTAGGCAGAATAGACAAAGCTCCTTTTGGGGAACACAAATAATGAAGTTTTTCTAAACATCTAATTGAAGCTGCTATTAACTGATTACTCTTTTCAAAAGTTGACGTTATTTTGAGAGAATTAATAACGGCGGTATTCTCAGAAGGACTTATTGTAGGTAAGAGTCGGATTAATAGACACAGACAAACTTCTAAAATGGATACAACCAAAGACTTTCCAGGAATCAGATCTCCTAAATCTCCTTCTTCCAAAACATTTACATTGGTTTTATTTTTCGTTTCGTTTAATTTGTTCTCCTTTTGTTTGTCAATGCTTTCCTGTGCGGCTTTTATAACTTGTTGCAATACTTCTAAACATAATAATTGACAAGTGTGATTGTCTCTAGTTAAAATAAGTCGATGAAGGACATTACATAATTCAATACCTAAAAATGAATCAGATACGAGCAATTTTCTAGTATATTCCGTGTCGAGTAAGGTATATAATGCGTGTAGACAAGTTTTTACACTTTCTAACGGTTCTATAGAACGTGGACTACAAAGTGCTTCCATACATATTCCAAATAATAAATGAAATATATCCGAGTCTTCATTGATTTTATTACTCTTAACATTACCATTCGTATCTTGGTTTGATTTAAAAGTTCCTGAGTTTAGCCATAATGCAGCCGCATGAAGGATAGGGGACCAGAAAGAAGTGTAGTAAGTTCTTGATAGGTCCATTGTTTCGTTAGTATAAAAAGCACCACCATCATGTGGCAATTGACTAGAAAATTCACTTGGTAATGAAAGCAAAGCATAGTCTTTCAGTGCTAATAACCAATATTGTGACAAACTCACTAGTTCAGGTTGTACGAGAGTTAACAAACTTTCTCCTTGGCTTTCATAGTTTGTAAATTCATTGTTATCATTATCATTTGTTAATGTTACTGTTACAGTAAAACTAGAAACAGCATCACTTCCTTTCATAGCAACAATATATACTTCGGCCCACGCTTTTAATATAGATAACTTTTCAAGAGTGACTAGGCTTTCGTTGTATAATTGACTGGAATTATTCTTGTTCCTAAATTTGGTAAGGGAAGACACAAGTAACTGATGTACTCGTTTCAAATCGTTAAGATCTCTTGCAACATTAGACCCAATCCAAGTTGAACAAACTTCACAAGCAGCAGCTGTTACTAAAGATGATGTATCAGGTAAAAATGCAGGTCTTAGGGCGGCTCCTACTTGAGCTTGATACTGTTCGAGAAGCAGATGTCCTGGAAATTCTGGTTCCGGAACTTTGGCAAATTTCTCTATAATATCTTGCATTGTTTTTAATCCTTGTAAACGCAATGGATCGGAATCACTAGTAGCCGCAATAAATGCCATTCTAATGAGATCAGATAAATGCAAGCAGAGGAAATCATTTCTTCCTTGTTTGAGTTGTAATTCTTTAGCCTTTAGAAGGTCAAAGTGATCAGTCTTATTCGATTCACAAACAGCAATAATCTTTCGAACACACTCCGCTGCAAACACTCTAGTTGGCCATCTTGGTTGAATGGTGGGATGAGATGGGTCTTCTTCTGCATGGAACTCGACTTGGTCATCAGCTTCAAAGATTTCTTCAACGTCCACGTTTAAAATATTTGAACGATCGTCATTAGTATCTGCAATAAAAGAGACAGAGTATATTTGTGTTGGCCCCTACTGATCTGTTGTAAATGTGAAATTCGTTTTCGGTTCGCAGTTAAAAATATAATCAATACAAAACAAGTATCAACATATACCCGTCTCTAGGGCAGGTAAAAAACTGAAAAATAATTGGGGTTTGCTTAGTAAAAAATTTTTCTAACGCCATCCGTTTTCAAGATACAAGGCGTTGAAGAAAAAAAAATTTACGCATTTTTTACAATTTTATCGAAACTACTGGCAACATTGTAATGAAATTTTATACGAATATGTTTTGGAAGCTGATACATCCCATGAATTTGTTTTTATATCTGATTCTCATAGAGGGCGCTAGTTACACGGATCGTACTAAGTATTAGTCAATATAACTTTTTTAAGAGTATAATTATTAATCAAAATTTCAAGTAAACTTAAACATCCATTCAATTTTACACGAAAAAGGTACTCTTGGTAAAACTCGATACTGTGTACCGTTTTCGGAATATTTTAATTTGAAAATTATGAAGTAATAAATTGTATAATATACAAATATACATACAGCATATACAAGTATTCTAATGTATGAGCTTCCACGATATAATTGGATAGGACTTCGGTGTTCACAATTTGTAACAGCGCACCTAGTTTCTTTCAAGAGTTTACTTTTGGCAGCGGTGTCTGCTAAGTGTGTTTGTCCCATTAAACTCTTGTATGAGACGTGCCATTTCACTTACTAGGCTATCGTGCAACTCCTGCATATTAGCAGGTTGAATGAGAGGTTGTATGAGAGGCTCAAGAGTCTGCTCATTAGGGAATCGATCTACAACTAGCTCTTGGTTATGAATCTCCCGTTTGTCTTCGCTTCTGATTGTATCGCGTCTAGTCTCCGGGATAAGATTATTTCTTATAATTACCCGGTATTGATCTGCTATTCGCTGTTCCGATACTTGAATCTCTAGGTTCTCCCTGCAGAATTCGATAGTCGGTTGTTTCTCGGCCGAGGTTCGTCACCTTGTAGTAGAAGTGCAAAATGTTTTAGTTTATAGACACAGTCCACTTCATGAGCAGCCCCGATCGTCCCGCTTGAGTGAGGGGCCGGCTGATGTTCCAGCGTAGCACCTTCAGTGAGAGGAGCTCTTGTTGTTTTTTGGCAGACTTGTGGTTGTCGTTGGGCTGTAGCTGATTGTATGACAAGGGTCCGCCTACACCCTGCCATCGAGGTCCCACATGCTGTCACGTTCAGTGCCGGCTCCAGACGTGCCCTGGCAATTCCCAGGCAGCGACCTACTGCCTACCTACTGCCAGGTGTCAGTTTTTGTTCCACGGCAGGTATCCCCGCTACCCTCTGGGTATTAATGCTAAAAATACACACGAGAGAATCCCCCATACACAGGGGGCCGCGCCCGATAGAAGAACTGATAAAAAACTCCCAAAGGGTGGGAGTTGTGTTATTATTATTATTCGTTTAAACGTTATTAATTTAGAAATTTACTTACCTGTACTAATTGTCAAAACATCTTTGCATAAGCCTAACCATTGGGAGAGATTACTTGCAGCGAGAACCTGCAGCATACTAATGATGGTGTCATGAATATCTTTTATAAGAGCAAGATCTGTTTCAGTATCAAGCATACTGAAAAATACTCCCGGTAGTCCTGACTCCGTTATTAAGAGACCTTCCACTTTATTATTATCTCTACTTTCGTTAGCCAAATTCAAAGCATGTTCACAAACTTCCTTGGCTTCTCTTTGAACTAGCTGTCGTAGACAGGATATAGCTGCTTTTCTTAACAAGAGATGATTGCTTGATAATGTTCTCTGGAAAATAATTTCTTTAATTACAATTTAATTTAATTTAAACAGACAATATTTAATATACATACACTATGCACATTATTGTTAATTTTACTTACACATAAAGTTGGCACGAGTGAAGATAAATTAACATGTTTTGGAGCAAACAGATGTAGCTGTTGAAGACATCCTGTCGCTTCTGCTTGTACTAGAGGATCGTAATGATCTTGCATAACAGCACATGCGCCTAAGAAGGAAGAACGAGCTGTGCAAACACTTGAAATGTTTCCTTGTAGTTCGGGGCCAACAGTTGTGATAAGTGCAGATAATACTTTTCCAATGCATTGATGTACGTCAATATATGATTGTGGAACAGTTAGCAGTAATTTTAAGAGAAGAGATAAACTTGGTTCGACGTATCCTCTAAACATTGGTCCTCCTGAATCTACTATCAATGCCAAGGCATGGAGAGACCACACTTGAACTATAGGCGACGTTTGATCTTGAGCAAGCGCTAAGAGAATTGAAACGCTTGTATTTAGATGTTGACTAGATCCCATTCCACCCACATATTTATGTAGACAACCTAAAGCTAGCGAATGACCCGTGCGACTAGCTACATCTCTAGCAGATTTTAACCTATCAAAGCTAGTCTGAGCAAGCTCAGCTGTAAATTTAGAATCAGATACGACCTGTGCAATCCTTCCGACTGCTTCACCAGCTGCGTATCTGAGTATTGGATTTGAAGAAGTCAGGGCACCTATAATAAGGTTGACAGCAGATTTCTTTACATCATCTTGATTTATATTAACTTTCGTTTCTGCCAATCCCTTCAAACCACTTAGAAGTGCAGTAAATACGTTCATCTGTACTGCTTCTTGCCTTGTACTACGCACATGTTTGATGCATTCTGTAAAATGGTCTAACATTTGAACTCGATGTTTGTTGGTTACTCTAGAGAAGATCTGGCCAAACAACAAAACTGATATATCTATGACCGCCACTCCTAAGGGAAGAGGACCAGGAATTTCTTGACCCTAAAAATAAAAACAAAGTAAAGTTATTATTTCATCGAATTCATGAGGTAAAATTTTGTTTATTTTCGTGTTTATATTATAAGAAAATTTGTGAGATGTTTTTAATGTAATAAGTCGCCGTATAAGAGATGTATATTGACTTAAAATTGCAGGTGTGTGTAAATATTTTATGATGGATATTTCTTTGATATAATCCAGATGGATGTAACGTGCCACAATTTTAATTATAATGAAAAAAAAAATATATTCTTCACAGCTATCTCTGCGGCGGAGGTCGGCAATCATCATGGCTATTCGGACTTTTGAGACGGCTGCTTTGAAAAGTTCATTTGATGTACGTCCGTATCACTCTCTCAGGTTGCGCAGCCATGACATTCTACGCCTCCCTAGTGGGAGCAAGGTGTATTTCTCTCCACGTGTAACATGTCCGAGATATTCCAATTTTCTTGTTTTAATTGTATTTATCATTCCTATTTCAGAAGCCAACGAGTAAACATCGGGCTTCCTACTAATAGTATTTTGAATAAAAACTTGTTTAGTTTAATGTGATTGTTTATCAAGCAAATATTGGTAAGTCGATATCAGTTAAATTAATACTTTCGACAAATAAAATTAGGCCAGTCGTTTTTGGCCATACTTAATATTTTGGCATCCAAAATATTAAAATCAAATATGGCATCATCTTCACAAACAGCTCAACCTAGCTTCGCTGCAGTAACCAAAATAACACAGAAAAAATCTACAACAGCAACATCATGTCCTAGTAGAACTCAAGCCATTGTTATGAACGCTATCCCAGACGTAGTACTATTTGATTACATAAAGGCAATCGGCGAAATTGTTACCCCTAAAGAAATAACCTTTGCTTCACGTATTTCTAATCAACGTATATGCATCTATCTTTCTTCCGTAACCGTAGTAGATAATCTTCTAAAAAATAATCCTACTATTTCGATTAGAAATCAAACAATATCTATTCGTAGACTTATCACTCCTGCAAAGAGGCTACTACTTTCTAACGTGTGTCCTTCGATTCCGAATGCACTCATAGAGCAAGCACTTAAAAATGAACTTGGATTACAACTTGCTTCCCCTATCTCGCATATCCGTTGTAGTTCTCCGGAAGACGAATATGCTCACATCTTCAGTTTTCGACGCTCAGTCTTTGTGATACCAAATAAAGAATACTTTGAGTTAAATACTTCAATTGTAATCTCATATGAAAATACAAATTATAGGATCTTTATTACTTCGGACAAACTTGAATGCTTTTTATGTAAGCAATCTGGACACACTGCAGACTCCTGCCCTAACCCTCAAGAAATATCTAGCAATCCCTCTCCAAATACAACTTCTAGCCAAAATCCAGTCGATCCTCATTCTAGTATATCTCCTCTCTCACCCTCCACAAAAAAAGAAATCTATTCAAATAACCCACCTACTGACATAACAACCCCAAATGAACAGTCTATAACACCATTATCTGTCCCTTCTAACTCTGGCATAAAAAGAACTCATTCCACTGACACAAGTCTTGAATCACCTTCTCTACTGGTTACCGCTAGCCCCCTAAACTTAAACTCTAATAACACACCAAACACAACAACCTTCGCAACTCCTAAATCAGCGTCCTAAAAAAAAACAAAACTAGATGACAAAGAAATTTGTAAAATTATTCTATGTGCCCATTCACGTATAGAAAAATTAATTTGTGCGAATCCAGAAAAATTTTCGTTATCAGCATTACAAATAATTGCCTTCCTAGAAAATTCCTTTGGAAGTAGTGATCCCCTCAAAGAAGCTCATAATTTCACCACGAACATTCATTCTCTCCTCGAAGATCTTACTCAAATATACCAAACTGTATCCGATAGATCACTTAAAAATCGCATTACAAGAATAACGAAAAAGCTAAAACGCACATTAAATTCTATAGACGCTGACGAACTTACCAGCCTTACGTCCAATAATTCATGTGACTCTAACTGCAATGATATCGATCCTTTCTAAAATTACTTAATAAGTACAAGGTAAATTCTTCTACTAACCAAATAAATTTTTCAAATTCACTATTTTACAATGGAACTGCGACGGATACTATCCGCGCCTTGAACACATTCAATATCTTATATCAATTTACCATCCAGATTTTCTTTGTCTCCAAGAGACTAATTTTAATACAACGAATATTCCTCATCTTAAATCCTTTGAAGGATACCACTTCATTAGAACGAACTGCTTAAGAGCCAGTGGAGGTGCATCTATATTTGCGTCCAGCGAAATCTTCTCAACAATGCTACCATTAATAACGAATCTTGAGGCAATTGCCATAACTACATATTGCCCTAATAAACTAACCATCTGCTCCATATATATTCCCCCAAACCATTCTCTAAAAGAAGAAGAGCTCCTAGACCTTATATTCCAACTTCCACAGCCGTTTATTCTCACAGGAGACTTCAATGCACATAACGTTATGTGGGGTTCTCAATCCACATTTGGACGGGGAAAAGTAGTTGAAAATATTATTAACTGCACAAACTCATGTCTTCTTAACACAGGATCTAACACTCATTTTAATATTTCATCTGGATCTTTCTCTGCTATAGATCTTAGTATTAGTGACCCTAAATCTGCACCTTTTTTAACCTGGCAAACAGCTGACGATCTCTTTGATAGCAATCATTATCCTATAATAATTTCCAACAATTCTAATGGGACTGCCTCTGCCAAAAGCTATTGGCGCCTAAAAAAAGCTAACTGGCCAGAGTATTCAAAAGCCGTTGACACTCTCTTGCTCGCGCATGATCATCTAATAATAAACGATGTAGACTATTTGTTAACGTCAATAACAGACACTATTCTTTCAGCTGCTAAGACTCATATTGGCAAAACATCATTCTCTCCAAATCATAAAGTAGTTCCTTGGTGGAACTCTTCTTGTGAAGAGGCGATTCGTCTATCCAAAAAAGCTTTAAATAAGTACCAAAAAAACAGAAGCCTTGAAAATCTAATAAATTACAAAAAATTCAAAGCCAAGGCCAAACACGTAGTCAAAAAAAGTAAAAAATCATCCTGGCAAGATTACGTATCATCTATCAACGAAAACTCCAATCCTAGCCAAATTTGGAAAAAAATACGACAAATTCAAGGTCACAAAACTAATAATAAAATTACTCGTTTAATTACAAATGGTATAGAGATCGCTTCATACGAACTTATTCCTAACGCCTTTGCCAAACATTTCGAAGACAAGTTCAGAAATAAAACCAATAATATTGCTTTGTCTCATCATGACTTATATTCACACAGAAATCATCTGATATCATCTGAACATAGTAGATCCCTTAATTCTCCTTTCACTATGCATGAGCTAATATCTGCCTTAGCTAATAGTAGAAACACTGCAGCTGGACCCGATGATATTCCTTATGCATTCCTAAAGCACTTGTCTAATTATAGTCTTAAAAAACTCCTTAATTTATACAATATAATCTGGAGTTCCCATAAATTTCCATCTCAATGGAGCAAATCTATAGTTATACCAATACTCAAGCCAAACCAGCCAACTATGTTTCCACAATCTTACAGGCCCATCTCTCTCACATGCACTATGTGTAAGCTAATGGAAAAAATGATTAACAAACGTCTTTTGTGGTATTTTGAAAAACATAAGATTATTCCAAAGGAACAATCTGGCTACCAAAGACAGCGCTCCACAAGAGATAATCTAGTAATACTCCAAACCCACATCTCCAACGCAATAAATTGCAAGCAAGATTTGATAGCAACTATCTTTGATATAGAAGGCGCATTTGACACCATCTCTAGAAATGCAATCCTTGACAAACTTTTTGAATGTAACCTTACTGGCAACATATACGCATTTATCAAAAACTTCTTAACATCTAGATCGTTCAGGGTTTCTGTCAATAACTTCCTTTCTTCTCCACACATCCAATATGATGGAGTTCCGCAAGGTTCAGTTTTAAGCACATCCTTATTCATTCTTTCGATTAGCAAGTTAAGTGAAAATATAGCTCCACCAATCAAATGCGTATTATATGCCGATGACCTAATAATGTACTGTCATGGTAAATCCAACGCAACTACTAGTAAAATTCTACAAGTAGGAGTAAATGACCTACAAAACAAAGTAGCTTCTCTAGGACTTACCCTCTCCCACTCTAAATCCAAAGTTATTAATTTTAGCAGAAGAATGAGTTCTTTTGATCCAGAAATCACTATCAACAACTTCAAGTTACCGGTTGTTGATAATTGCAAAATATTAGGGCTGATATTTGATTCAAGATTAACCTGGAAACAACACATACAGGAACTTAAAGGAGTTTGCCTAAAAAGGTTAAATATACTCAAAACACTCTCACATTATCATTGGGGCGCGGAAGAAACTACTTTACTGAAAGTCTACAGATCACTTATCCGCTCTAAGCTAGACTATGGATGTTTCGTCTATATGTCTGGTACTAAATCAATATTAAATTCACTGAACACAGTTCACAATACAGCTATTCGTTTATGTCTTGGAGCATTCCGTTCTAGTCCGGCAGAAAGTCTGTACTGTGAAGCTAATGAACCTCCTCTATGGCTTAGACGAGAAAACCTTCTTCTCTCCTATGCTGCTGCAATTTCTTCCAATCCGTCCAATCCCGTATATCATCTATTTACATCATCACATCATACCCAAAACAGCCCTCCATGTAACTTAATTATACATCCTATTCCTAGTCTTCTACAACCGTTACTAAAAGATATAAATTTGTATGAAACCAGAACTCTACCATTCTCCAATAATCCCTATTGGACCAACATACTCCCATATCATGATATTTCACTCACCAAGTTTAACAAGGAAGATACCAGTATTAGTACATTAAGAATTCTCTTCCTAGAACTTATAAACAAAAATAAATATAACATGGTTCTTTACACTGACGCGTCGAAGACTGAAGGTGGGGTTGGATATTCTGTAACCACTGTACAACAGCCTATCGAACTCTCTAAAATCTCTCCTTGGTGTAGTATCCACACTGGTGAACTACTAGCTATCTTACAAGCTTTTAAATATGCCCAACGATATACAAATACACACATAGCCATATGCTCCGATTCGCTTTCATCTATACACTCCATTAACGCTATATCCACCAAACATCCTATCGTCCAAGATATTCATGACATATATCAGCTTCTTATAAAACAAAATATAACTATCACTCTGATATGGGTACCATCCCATGTTGGTATTAGTGGTAACGAAAAAGCTGATTGCCTTGCCAAAAAAGCCGCATCATCCACGAACACCATTATAAACATACAAATTTGTAATGATCTGAAAGCCAGACTAAAGAAGCTTAATTTATCTACGTGGCAGATTCACTGGAATAATGTTACCTCAGCGCTGCATGAAATCAAACCTACAGTGAACCGTCTTACCTATCCCAGTTTATCTCGAAAAAATATGGCAATCATACGGAGACTGCGTATTGGACATACCCGTCTAACTCATGGTTACCTGATGACATCATCTCCACAACCAAAATGTCAACACTGCAATACGACTCTCCGAATCAGGCATATACTTATCGAATGCCCTTTATATGCCAAAATACGCCAACAGCTCAATATCAGTACTAACTTCAAAGAGGTCCTAAACAACACAGACGAAATCAACAAGGTCATCAAATTCCTCGAGAATAGTCAACTGCTCAACAAAATATAAATGTTATATTACAAGTTTTTATTATTTTCTCTGTATGTTAGATGTTAACTACATTTTATTTTGTAATTTATATTATATTACCATGTAAATCGTAACTCGTGCTAATGACCATAGATGTCACATGCACGTTAATTTAAATAAAAAAAAAAAAAAAAAAAAAAAAAAATTGTATTTAGAATTTCTACTTCTTTATTCATCCTTCTCAGAACCTCTTTGTTTGTGACGTGTTCTGGTCCACAATATTTGCAGAATTCTTCTATACACCCACAGCTCGAATGATTCCAGTTTTTTCATTGATGTCGCATTCTAGGTCTAAGATTCCATTCCATAAAATAAAGTCGAAAAAACATAGCACCTCGCCAACCTAACTCTTAGTTCCAATTTTATATCCCTTGTACATGGCAGTCTTCTCATTTTGTTGAAATTTGCTCTAGCCTTTTCTATTCTGATTTTGATCTCCTGAATATAATCATCGTTCCCAGATATGCATATTTGTCCACTTGTTCGACGTTGGTTCCGTTTATTAGAAGATTCTAGTTATTTCTTTGAGTTTTCGATATTATCATACATTTCGTCTTCTTGGCATTAATTGTTAGACTTTTAGTACTTTTGCTCGCTGTTTATAGTATAAATTTGATATGATCCTGAGGTCGTTGTAGTCAATCTTTTTTGATTTCACTACATTCATTAATTTTTTATGTCGTACTTTATCGAATGCTTTATTATAGTCAATAAAACACGCGTATATATCTTGATTGACGTCCAGGCATCTTTGTATCGGTATATTAAGTGAAAAAAGAGCTTCACGCGTTCCCAGGCCTTTGCGAAAAACAAATTGTGTATCATTAATGTATATGTCCAGTTTGTGATATATTCGGTTATGGATGACTTTTAGTAGTAACTTTAGCACAGGAGACATCAAGCTAATGGTGCGGTAATGGCTGCACTCTCTTGCGTTTTTCTTTTTGGGGAGACAAATAAAAATCGAAGTTAACACTCTTTGGGCAATACGCCTGAACTATGAATTTGGTTCAAGAGTGTCACTAAAACATCAATGTAAAAAAAAATAAAGAGCGACAAATTTTGTTATAAGATTGGTAACTGCTGACTCAGTGGAAACATGTAAAAACTCTCCTGATACTGCATGTGCAGGTATCAGCTCAGGCAGTAAGAAGTTGAAACTTGATACCCTGGCAATCGTCATTATAAGTAACATTGATTGGTACAATGCATATAACAGCTCCGCCTTTGAGATGAAAGTTGATGCGTGGCAGCAACTTTAGACTGTCTGTTTGTTGGTATTCAGTTGGATCTGCTCTTCTTCGTCTATGGAGTCGCTAGTTGGATACTGGCTCTTCGTCTTGGAAGGATCTTCCTCCAATGGTTCACTGATTAGTTTGTCGAGTTCTTCAGAATACTGATTGAGTTTGTGATTGGCTATCTCGAGGTCTTCAGTATTGATCTTGCTAAGCTTCAGTGGTTTTAAGTCGGGAAGATGGATCTTATCTGGGAAATGTTTGCAGCAGTTGAATGGTATTTGGACTGGGTGACTTCTATAAGTAACATTGTCGTGGACGTCGATTAATTTCTGAGAGTGTACTCTTGTACTACCACTAAAGGCATCGCATGTGGGTTGTAGTTTGAGTACATGGTTGATGTGGATTATTTCCGATTTGACCTCTCTGGACTCGTATTTGATGGTAATAGGCAGTGGGTCAGAAACTATTATGAGCCCTAGGTTCATGTTAATCTTGTGGACGTTGTAATCTTTGGCGAATAATACGGAAGTCTGGCATGTTCTGCTGACTTTTTAGCTCTTTTCATGATTTTTCAATGACACTGTGGACTACATCACCTTCGTTCTGTGTATGACCTCAGATGAGGTACTTGTAAGTTATGGAATTTAACTGAAACTTCTTAATTGCGTAGTAATACATTACAAGAACAAATCTGTTTTTTTTTGCTGACCACAGCAGTTATCGGAATAAAGAATTATGTCAGATTGAGGATGTGTATTAGCGATTTCTTTAAGAAATGTCAGGACACATGAACCAATTTCGACGGCTCCTCTTTGTCCCAGACCTTCATGCCAGAAGTAACAGGATACCTTGTCATTTCTTATTTCCGATATCGTAAAATTAAAACAATTTAATCTTGATTTATAGTAAAAAGCTGATGTATGTTTGTCCCATAGGTACTGGCAGGCCAGCTTGTAGGTCATACATTACCAAACCTGTATTTGATCCTTCTTCTTTTGCTTTTTCTTTGTCTGAAGCTTTCTCAGTTCTACTTTCTTGAGTTGCCAAACTGTCAGGGCTTACTTAAACCTATGAGCTTATTGTTCAGTGAAAAAGGTCTAAACGACCCCTATAATATATAAACGTGAGCTAAACAATATATATTTATTTTACAGGGGTACTTATGGACTACACAAAATTGTGTAGTCCATTGTTGTAAGAAAATAAAATAGTGTTTAACACAAAGGGAAATTATGCTAAATAGTAATTAATTACTTACTGAATTTATTTGGCGATAAAGACAGCAGGGATCATGTTCCAACGCTCCTGATCCAGCAGCACTATTCGGTTGAAGCTGTAAATTTCAAAGGTTAATTAATGTTAAAATAAGTACTGCTCTAATTTATAAATGTTTTAAGTGATACGGGTTGAAAAAGGAATAATAAACTCATTCAAGCAAAAACACAACACATTTTGGCTACTCACATGTTCACCATCAGTTCTTCGATTAGGTTCCATCTAAGCAAAAAAGTAAAGATACAGTGTTAGACGTGACATTTTAAATATGTTAGTCGTTTTCCACTACAACTAATTAGATTTTCAAATATTCTTCTGAATTTCTGGCTATGCTTAGAGTTAATAGTACCTAACGGCTTTATATCTCTTTATGAAGAATCAAACAGAGAAAGAACAGTTACTGCACAAGCAATGAGCAGCTAAACAAACAAAATGGTGGATGGACAACGAAGGATGTCGAGAGTTCTGGTGTTTTGATGAATAAATAACCTAAGACCGAAAACTGAAGACAACGGCGAAAGTTTTTTTTAAGTTCTAAGTCCTCCAAATACCTAGAAACATTCAAATGTTTATTACAAACCTGATCTTCTATAGTCCTATGATCAGTTTCTTGCAAATAAGTTCCAAGTATAACTGAGTCGTTAGCGAGGCAGACAGTTCGCAGTTGAGAAGTTGTTGTATTCGCTGGGTTCTCAGTCAAAGTAAATTCCGCGACCAGCATTCGGAGTAGATGGGTGTACGAATCTGAAATTAGAACTTTCAGTTGGAACTTTTACTTGTTTTCAATTTGTTAGTAGAAACACTTTAAATTAAAGAATATAAAAAAATAACGTTGATATATCGTGATTTAAATTAATGACTTAATTTAATTAAACAAACTGTGATTATAAGAGTTCCATGATAATTAATTTTAATATTTTCACCAAAAAAATCTTACTTTCATAGCACTGTGGATGAAGAAGCAGTAATGTCTCACATAGTCTAAGCCTAACCATAGCAGCCGGCGCTTTTAGATGCTGTCCATATGTTTTTAAAATACCAGAAATGCTAAAAAATTAACAACATTAAAACTGACACTAAAGGTATTTTAAACTTACTTAGAAAGCATAGCTAAAGCAGATTCAATCGGAGCCAGTAATCGTCTTGTTGTATCATCGGTAATTAATTCTGGACAATTCTGAAGAAAACTCTGCATTGCTGATAGCGCTCCCGCTCTTCCTTCTAGAGTAACTTGCCAGGTAAAAACATCCCCTCGGGCCTTTTCCGATTCTAACTCCTTTGCAGATCTAGGGAAAGAATTTCTCCATAAGAGTAACATCCTGGGCAATAACCCTTTGACAACTGGAATTCCCAATGTCATTATTGCGCCTATTAGTAACCACCCAGCTTGTGTTCTATTCAGAGAAAGTCTACTATTTTGACTGGCGCTTCGTAACAATTCTTCAGCAGTATTAAATATTATTTTTCCTTTCATATGAGGCACGCCGAGAGGTGAAAGCTTAACTCCTCCTAATACAGCAGCTAAAGCTGAACTGTAACCTGCAATAGCTTCGGGTGATGTCCTAAACTGTTCAATGCTATTCACACAACGATCTATCAGCGGTGAAATTTGGCTAGGGACTGCAATGCAAATACATCTAAGACACCAAGCAGCGGCTAGTCGAGCAGCTTGACAAGGGTGGATTAAAACACCAATTGTTACATCTATTAGATCTAAAAGAAGAAAAAAACATATTATTTCTTATAAACTAAATAAATTACTTTTCCAAACAACGTTTGACTACCAGGTTTTTCCCCTTGGTCTTTCTCAAAAACTTCTCGTAGACTGTCACCTTCATATAATTTAGTTTGTTTGAAGTGTTGTCCATGTTCAGTAGATAAGTGACACATTAACCACTTTTTTCTTTGGCCTGTCTACTTAAGATGGTCAATTATGTTTTGCCCATTGACGCCTGACCAATAGGTAAAGGATCGGTGCTGAAAAACCTTGTATTTTGACTTTACCTAAGACTTAAAATTCTTGTTTTTCTTGGAAAATTCAAAACATATCGGCTAGCCTGATCTTACGTAGGTGGTACCACATATGGGATCATAAGTTCATCAGCCAAGTGTATTGAATTAAATCTGATTTGTTTAAAGAAAGTTTAAAGGAAGTTCTTTCTCTTTTCAGCTTGGGTTGTCTCAAACTTGGGAGGTTTTCTCGTCTAGAGACTTAGTTTATTGTATTTTGTTTCTAACAAAATAATAAACGATGAAGAGGTTGCTAATGTGAGTCCATAATACTAGTGTATAGGAGATAAGATAATCCTCACAATCTTAGATATGTTTTTTATTCTAATAGAATTTCTAGGCTACTGGTTTGGAGGCTTACAACATATGCCCCATCATCAGGTCACAGTACATAGGTACCAGGTTACCATTATATTTTGACCCCCACTTATTTTCCTTAATTTCGGGAATACAAAAAAAAGTTTCAAATTTTCCTCAATTTTTGTCCACATACTCTTATACATCAATGACTCTGGGTTAAACTACTTTAGGGGTTATTTTAACCTTTATCAACATTCAACAACTCTAAAATAGAAGTAACGAAATAGGAATAACAGAACACCTGTATTATACTCAAAGAGGGATCAGGAACAAGGGCGTTTTTTTCTCTTTTATTTCCTCTATATTTGGAGCCTAGAATCGAGAAAATACGGTCATGAAAAAGAATATATCCTGGTAACATTTGATCAAGAAAAAATAGTATTCTGCTAAGGAATAAATCTTAAGAATTTACGAGATAATCTGAATAAATCAAGAGAAAAGATTGATCACGATTATGAACATGAATTTGAAGCAAATCTAATATACACCTTTGCATAAAATTCAAACGATTCACAAGTTTTAATTTAAAATACACGCAATGAACAAATTAAAAAGATATTAACGCCTAATAATATGATAGTTATGTTATAAGAATTATTTCACCTATTATAGAAACGTATGTACTGTATATAGTTTGTCTAGAGAGTATCCAGAATTTTATAATTTTCGTAATTTTAATAGATTTCCTTTTTGTAAAATTTTAAGACAAAAATAATGAATCAAGTAGTTTGTGCCGATAATAGGTTATGGACAAAGTCGCATGACAACACATCTGTCAAATATTGTTATTTGTAAACAGACTAAGATTTGTGAAATAATTTCGAAAGTAGAAAAAAGAAAAATGGTGGAAGATCTGTATAAAAATGGTGTCCGAAACGTTAAAAAATTATTGCAATTGACTGAACTCGGAAAAAGTGCAGTGTATGATACAATAAAGATGATGAAGAATGGCATAGATATGAGACATAGACCAGTTTCGGATTAGCGACCAGACTTGGAAATCAACGAAAGAATAACAGTGTGCCCACAAACTGTGCGCATGTCAGTTGTTGGATGCACCAGCTTGGTGCAAATCATCTAAAAGTCCTATCAAGAGACAATGTTACCGTTCAAATTTCCCACTAAAATAATGGTTTGGGGAGCAATATCTCACCTCTCTGTATAGTTAATGGTACTGTTGATAGTGCGAAATATTGTGACATCCTAAATGGTTTTTTCTTGAAACGGCTCATGTTTTATATCCAGAGGGGTGGCGTTTTCAGCAAGATAATGCAAGATGCCATACTTCTGCTTATACTCAAGCTTGGATGCAAGAACACGAATTGGCAACAATTCCGCGGCCAGCAGCATCTCCAGATCTTAGCCGCATTGAAAACATATGGGGACTGATGAAGATTGAAGTGGAACGAGCAGCGCCACGAGATAAAGAAGGTTTGATTCGGTCAGTTTTACAGGCCTGGAACACCATTACCGAAAATTATGGCCTTGACCTAGTTTCGGATGTACCTGGACGTTTAGTTAAGTGTTTAGATTTAAATGGAGGTTGAATAAGTAAATGAGATGAATTATTTGTTGAAATTTTATATTTCAAGTGATAGAAATAAATACAGTAAAATTATAATTCTGCTTTCTTTGTTCCGGATACTTTCTAGACGGACTATAATATAATAGTCACGGTTATATCAATAATATATATTATATAAGACATCTACTTACTCAGTGATTGATCAGTTATCAGATCATGTGCGGTTGTTCCCAAGCTAGAAATTAATATACCAATTTCTTGAAGAGCACAAACCAGTAAATGCTGACTGAAAAGTGTTTCTTGATTAACATCCTTGGCATTTTCAGGATTAAAGTCGATTGAATTCATTTCCTTAATAATAATTTGTGCAATTTCTTTACATGCTAATGCTTGTGCTCTTTCACCCAACATTTTGCCAAAAACGCTTCTTAAAATAAAGTTGATACATTTTCTAGAATAAACTGCATCTACATGTGACGAAGCAGCCTTTGGGTTTGCCGCTAAAGACAAAATATGGATCAGGAAAGTTTTCATATTTTTTTCTAACCATTTACCACCCAAAATTTGGACAAGTGTTACATAACCCTAAAATAAATTATTGAAAAGCACCGTTATATAATAAACAATAACATCATGTGAAGTTAACAAGCGTCCCACTTATTGATTTTATTATTGCTCAATTTTTTTACGGCAACAAATCAGAAAGCCTTTACTGTCTGATTTTCCCAACTTTTTAAAATATCTGAAGTACAGCGGGCAGTAAAAAGATTCTTATATTTCAAGGAGGTACTTGGACAGTTCATGCTTTTTTAAGTAACAACCTTTTTACTTTTCACTGTTGAGATAAAATTTCAATTGATTTTCTTCTAGATATGCAACATAAATTGAGAGTTTTGAGAGTATATTCTTTTTATTGACGTGACGTATTCACATGCCATTAACTTTGATAAAAGCTTTCGACAAAATAGAACACAGAAGACTTGCAAAAATATTACATAACAGACAAATATATTATCAGGAAGTGAGAACATTACAAATTTATACCGATATCAGAAAGCCATAATATGAGTAGACAACAAAAATTTAATGCTATACCTGTAAGAAGAGGAGTACGACAATGATATATACTATCCCCTCTACATTTTAATATGTGCTTAGAAGAGATGTTTAAAGAGGCACTAGAAGGCATCAATGAAGGCATATCAATTAACGGAAAACTAGTGAAGAACCTCAGATATGCAGACGATACAATAATCTTTGTGGAGAGCACAGAAGGGCTGCAAATTGTTGATTGCATAACGCAGTACTGCGAGAGGTATGGAATGGCTCTAAACACACAAACACACACACACACACACAAAGAAAAATCATGATTGTCAGTAAAAACAAGATTGAATACGAAACAACCTATGTTAAAGGAAAACCTTTAGAAAAAGTACCCATAATTACTTCGGCTGTGAGTTCAATGAACAATGGGGCCGTAGCCTTACAGTAAAACGACGCATTAAGATGGTCAGATGCAATGGCGAGGTCGAACCTCGACCTCAGATTCGTACTCGGACACCCATGGTGTCGGACTCGTAGGGGCTAGCAGCTAGCTAACGGTCGTATGCCGAAAGGCCAGGAAGACCAGGGTCCAACCAGCATTTTATTGTTGGGGGGTACGCGAATTTCGTCAATCTCAGAAATGCTATGATCAACGATATAAATGAACCGACCGCTGTTCCCAATAGCAGTAATGCATTGGTTAGTGATCGGTGTAGTAGTGTCTGGGGTCTCGGGAGACTGAGACCTCGGAAACCCTGAAAAAGACATCGGAGAGGATGTCGAAAGCTCAGCGCAGTGATAATCGACTCGGTTCAACCCGGAAGACTGTTGAGTTTAATATTAATAGTATTAATCTTAGCTTTAACTACATATTAACTTTAACTATATATTAACAATAACTTACGTGAGTCACTCCAACTCGTACTTCTCTGTTAACTCCAGAACTACCTTTGATAATTTCTCCAGTTCCTTTGAGAAATCCTACTCCACCTCTAAGAAATCCAGACATAAAAACTCCTAACGCTTCATCTAAAGATACAAGTTTGAGTCCTTTTTGAGGTTGTTGATGACCTAATAATAAATTATGGAATAAATTAATGTGAATACAAAGGATTTAAAAAATATTACCTTTGCCTGTTTTTGTTTGTTTTTGGGTCATAGCAATCAATGCTCCTAACAGTTTTGCAACTGTGCATCTTACTGTATAATTTGAACCATCAAAAGCTCTAAAGCATAAAGTAGCTAGACTTTCCAATTCAGTTGTATATAAAAATGGAGCATGATTTAGCATTTCCAGAAGACATCTACTAGCCGCACACCTTACAGCCATCACCCTGTCTATAAGACAATGTCTAGCGGCTTTATAAATATCTTTGTGAACATTACTTATAGCAATTCCCATTCCGGCACAAACTTTCTCCAAAGTTAGCATGATTTCTATCCTTGTTTGTGATTCAGCATTTCGCAAAGATCTTATTAAAATTTGAACAGTTTCTTCATAGGATCTCCCCATCATTCTTCCTAATTTTTGATACATGGTACCTACACAGCAAATTGCAGCTCTGAAAACGAAAATATATATACGAATAAATGTCCGGGGGAGGTTAAAATTACAGTTGAAATGTTGAAAATTGGTGGCAGAAAAATGGAACAGGTATTAAATATTTTATTTAATAAAGTAATTGATGAAGGAAAGATTCCTCAAGAATGGTATAACTCCGAAGTCATTCTACTATTCAAGAAAGGAGACAAAGCAAACATCGAGAATTACCGACCAATATCCTTGCTATCACATTTGTATAAATTACTAACTAAAATCATAACCAACCGCCTAACACATAAGCTCGATTTCTATCAACCTATCGAGCAGGCTGGATTCAGAAAACATTTTAGTACCATAGACCACTTGCACACCGTAAGAACACTAATAGAAAAATGCACCGACTATAATGTTCCAATTCATATGGCGTTCGTCGATTTCCATAAAGCATTCGATTCCATCGAATTATGGGCAGTGCTTGAATCTCTAGAAAATGCACGTATAGATTCAAGATACACTAACATAATTAAAAACATATATGAAAATGCAACCATGCAGATAAAGCTGGACGAAAGCACAAAAACTAATCCCATAAGACTACAACGGGGAATAAGACAAGGAGACACCATCTCTACCAAATTATTTACCATTGCTCTAGGAGACATTTTTAAGAAACTATAATGGAACAAGGGTATCAACGTCGACGGATCATACTTACACTACTTGATATTCGCAGATGACATAGTTTTAATAGCCGATAATATCCGAGAACTAAATGATATTTTACAACAATTAAATACAGTTTCAGGAGCGGTAGGTTTAAAAATGAACTACAGTAATTCATCCTACAAAAAAGCCTGGATCCAAACACAAATTACCTCTCACTGGGATACCCAGTGAGGAAATACTCTAAAATATGTATATATTTAAATTTTATAACTCTAAGACTTTTATTACAAAATATACAAATAATGATAGCTACTTACAATTTTGAGGGCAAAACGCTAGGAGAATCATCCTTATTTTTAAGAATATCATTACATTTGTTTACAGTATCAAATAATAAAAACGTATCCCCAACTGAAAATAAAGTTGCGAGACATCTTGCAATTAGTTTCCTTGTTGGAGGGCCTGGAGATTCTTGTATATGATTCATCAACTGCTGTACCAACTGTTTCTGGCATCCTTTTATATCGCTCTAACAAAAAAATACAGAAATTATTATAATTATCACACAAGACACAACCGTGAGTTAGACAAAAGAGTATAAAACTGATTACTGATATATATATATATATATATATATATATATATATATATATATATATATATACGCATATAAGAAAAAGGTTAATGCGAGTGCTTCCTTCCAACCAAGCCCAAGTTGACAGAATTCTCCGTACTCCCAAACCCTCACTGTCAAATATGTCTTTCAGAAAAACAAGCCCTCAAAGAACTTTAAACCAACCCTAACATTGTCATTCTTCGGGCCGACAAAGGTGATGCCACCGTCATTCTCAACTCTTTTAATTATTTCGACAAAATGTTCACGATCCCACCACCTATCTAGAAAAAACGACCAAATCCATCATAAATAAGTCTAGTCTACCTCCAGACATCAAAAAATCTCTTATACCCAGAGAAAAATCATCCCGAATTCCAAGGATATACAGCCTTCCAAAAATATATAAGCCCAATGTCCCCCTAAGACCCATCGTCAGTGCATACAACAGCCCCACTCAGAAATTGGCAAGACATCTCGCTTTATCCTTACAACCATTAGCCGAAAATGCCTCGTCATTTGTTAAAAACTCTTTTCATTTCATTGATCTTCTGAAAAACATTTCTATTTCACCCTCAGGTATACTAGTTAGTTTTGACATTGTTTCTTTAATCACCAACATTCCTATCAATGAAACCATTTCTATCATGGACTCTAAACATCAAATCCCCCAAGACACAATCTCTTATAAAATCTCTTATATATATATATATATATATATATATATATATATATATATATATATATATATATATATATATCTCTTATAAAACACTACAGGTCCTTTACACTCCAAAATCATTTCTATCATCAAATTAAAGAGGCCCAAATGGGATACTCCCTTCCGTCATAGCTGATATCTACGTGAAACTTGTTAAACTGTTTGTTCGGGCTGTTGGGCCGTTGTCTTCTGAGATTAGTTCTCGACGTTTCGCCAACACTAGGGGTTGGCATCTTCTGGAGATGTTACTGCTTCGCTTGTAAGCTGAAACTGCCTCAATGCCCAGTCACATCATCACCCCGCCCAACTCGATTCAGTTATCAACACTCTTGTTTCCCGTTCCATAAGACTCAGCGACAACAATAATAGATCATCCGAAATCAATTCAATAAGGCAAACACTCTTGACGATAACACAACCTGTGACCCAAAAAGGACAACGACAAAAAGGCAGAGAGAAATAAGCAGCGAGGATGCAAAATCCGACCTGGTTATTCTCAGGAGAATGATCAAGGAAAAGGACGAAGAAATATCCAGACTCCGTCTAAAAGTTACAGAGTTCCAAGAATTAATGCTGAAATCACAGCAAAAAGTACTAGGTCGTATAGACTCAAAGTTCGAGGAACTAAAACCAAAAAAGACGACAACGGAGAAGCCAATAAAATTACAAAAGGCAAAGGGAGCAATTCCCAAGGAAACAAAGACCCCTTAGCCACAGAATAATAAACAATCAGAATGCCCACTCTCCATGGAAAATTAAGTACGCGCATCTCCTTTGCGTAGACGTTCCGCCATGTTTTAGAGGGAACTAGTGTTGTTTATGTGGTGTACATAGAAAAATTAACCCGGTTTAATTGACTTACGGCAATCATAGACATACTATACAATTATATTAACATTGTTAAATATAATCACATAAATATAATATAATTAAACATTAATATAAACAATTACATAACCTCACAAATCATATGTCTCTGTTATGCGTTTCCTTCTAAAACTTCGTGCTGAAAAACTTCAAAGGTGGCATCTGAGAGTGGACATTCTGAATGTTTACTATTCTGTGCCTTAGCCCCCTTAGTCTGAGGAAAAAGAGTCATTCTCAGCAGACAGGCGTGAAATAATCCCAGAAGTTTAGTTTCAGAGCTGACCACTCCAGCGAGCTACAAGAACTCAGATTAATAGAGTACATAGCAGCTAGATTTAACGACAAGCAGTACACAGAAGCAGCCTTCCTGGATGTAAGCAAAGCCTTCAACAGAGTCTGGAATAAAGGTTGATGTACAAAATAAGAGGATATGGTTACAGCGGGGCAATGACGAGACTAATTCAGACTCTTCCTACTTGAGCATCTGGCTTCAGAGTTCAAATAAGAAAAGTCCTGTCTGAACTCGGAATCCCAGAGGCTGGAGTGCCACGGGGAACGGTCCTGTCACCCCTGCTGTACTCAATATTTACCGCAAACGTTCCCAGAACATGGTCTATCCAAAAGGAGATTTCAGCAGTCAGAAGAACAACTTACTGTACAAAACAATCCCATCGAGTGGAAAAGCGAGGCAAAATACCTGTGATTCATCATGAATAAAGAACATACATTCAAAAAGCACATAGACGCTATAGTGCGAAAAGCCAACATGGCTAAAGCATCCATCAGAGAAGTTACACATAGAAAAAGCAAACTGAGGACTAAAACTAAAATGAGATTAATAAATCATGGAGGCACACCTGTAACACAACAAAGGAGAGGATTCAAGCAGTACCCAGCAGCTGCCTAAGAGAAGCTGTCAACATAAAAAATTTAACAAAACGCTTTATATTCAGGGAACTACAACAGGTCAGGGTGACGGAAATAATGAAGAATAGAGCCGCGATAAAAATCGCAGAACTGGAAAACCACTCTAGTACCATACTGTGAGAGATCATGAGATTTCGATGTTTCCAGGATGGAAACGCAAAAGGCCTAACAACAAATAGCAGAATAAATTAAGAAATAAGCGAAAATAAAACAACTATGGGAGAGAAAATCCAACAAGGAAATAAACAAAATTACCAGAAAGAAAACAAAAAAAAACCAGAGAGAAAAATACACAAACCAACAGGATAGTTTGTAGCTCTAATTATTCGACAAACACTGAAAATCGCCGCCCTATGTCGCCTCAAGGTGTAAGGACCAAAGAAACAACAACAGGACCATTTATATAGTCATCCTACAAAAAAATTAACAAAAAACATAAAAAACGGCACAAAAATATAAACAAAACACTAATAAAAACCCAGCGAAGCTCTTAATGGTGTATCTTTCCTACAGAGGCTTCCCTTGATATAATATTTCGTGATGTCAACTAATAGTTTTATATTGTATTTTCGACATGTAGAGGTTTTCTCACCCGGATGCGCATTTTTTCTTCCTTATGTTGTACGAATTTCTGCATTAGTTTAAATTGTGCACTGCTTCTCGAAAGATCTTTAATTTTCAATTTGTTTTTCTGATGGCTCATGTATACCTATCCATAAGTCCTCTTCCTTACGTACACGGTAATGTTTATATTTCTGCTGTACTGCGAGAGAAGTGTACTTACTTTTTGATGAAGAATTTTTATATACTTTTAATCCACTTAGAAATACCTACCAAATAAATAGCTAAACGCGGCACATGTATAGATATTTAAGGCCTCACACCATATTTTTATTATTAACTAATAAATCGTCATTTCATTTATTACCAATTCTTAGCGATTGCTTTACTCGGCCTATATAAGATCTTAAATAGGCCAACCAAAGAGTAGAATTAAAAATAGGATTTATGAACATTCCATTTCTGTTCATCAATTAGTGTTGGGTTATCTATAATGTACAATCTACTAAAAATTGGCACACAATTTTGCATTTTTCAAATGTAGAGGTATCTAATATCAAACATTTTATTTATTTTAACCAGTAAAAATATTTTACTTACTTTTTGAGCAGCAGTAAGAACTTTATCTAAAAACCTAAGCCATTCAAATATAAACACAGGTCTTCTTGCCTCGCTAATTTGTGATAGAGCTTCTTCATTTAAAGTTAAACTATGAGATAATTCCATGTTTACTGATTTGCTGTGCAATAAGAGCAATTTTTATTGGTTATGTGACCTCAATAAGGTATATATACACATGTATTCCAGTTGAATCTAGTCATTATATAAAAAATTAAAATTGATCTGCTTTCAAAAGTTAAACCCTTTTAATAATCACATTGCATTATTTGGCTTTGAATCACAATCTTACATCTTACAATCAGTCATAAATAAGTTCACAACTCACAATCACAACAGTCACACATGACAATGACACATGACACAGAGTCACAGAGTGTTTTTTGTAATTGTATAAATGTCATTGTATCATGGTATGGTCAGAGCACTGTCGCCAACTCAACATATTAAATATAAAAACATCTCAACACTACCAAACCTTGTGCCAAACCCAAATATTTTATTTCATGGTTGACATTTGCAGCTATTTTAAGCTTGTACTTTCGGTAAACTCTAAACTCAACCTTTCCTCTGCAACTATGCAAGGTGTGCATCACAATCAGTGTTACCAGTGGCTGGGCATGGAATGATGCACCTCCCTGTCAAAAATTATGCGATTTTGTACAAAATTATGCCAGAGAACTACGTGCGTTCGTAGTTATCTGATTATGCGCTCTGTTGTAAAACGTAGGAGTAATCAGCAAACATGAAACAAACCTAATTCTTATGTCCTTACTGTCATCTGTCAATGTCCTGTCAGTTGTCATTGTAATAGTGATTGAAAGCGTGTCACAATAAATTTTGTTTTCTAATCATAGCTAGAGCAAAAAGACTGAGTTTTTGTAACTACATAACGTGTGCGTTAAGCGTAACGTATCTCCCCATGATACTAAGACTTCCAAGATAAACCCACTTCGCAATCGAATTTTGTACATCGACGCGCATGACGTCAATTGGTGATAAAAGTCACTTTTATCACCAACCTTTTATCATCACAGTCGGTAAAACATATATGGAAAGAAAGGGGTTTTTATTTAAATATTTAGAATATTAAGGGATGTTAGGTAAAATATCTGCGATTAAATCTTAAAAATATGTTTATATATATATATATATATATATAATATATATATATATATATATATATATATATATATATATATATATATATATATATATATATATATATATATATATCTGTTAGCCTAGCAATGTAAACTAAAATTATATAAAAAAGTAAGAACTAAACATCCTTTTGCAAATGGAAATTTATATACAATGGATTAATTTATTAAAATAAAAATTTAATACAACTGATAAAATAAAATACACTGTAATAATTTACAAGTGTATTTAACAATTTATTTTACAATTTTTAATATTTTCTTTTTCTTAACTTTGGATGTTTCTTTAATATATCTATTCAATTTTCTAATTTTAAAATATAATTTACACCTTTACTAACATTACATCTGAACACAGCTAAATCCATTAGCGATTTTAAATAATTCTTGGTTAATTTTAATGACCCTTTGTTAAAATTGTTAAAAATATGGTCCATTTCATTACATTTAATTAGAAAATCTGGATATGGTTTAAGTAAACCTCCTTCGGAAAGATAGTTTACCCAGTAAACCGATGTCAACGTACAAGATAAACGATAAAACAAAACTAAATCTCAAGGTTAGTAGATATTTAAGTAGATACTTAATTATCTACTAACCTTGACTAAATCTGACAAAACTCCATACAACACAGAACATTTCTGGTGACATTTGTCGCCAAGTGACGTCACACGACTGATCGCGTGCGCGTGGGTTTATCTGTAGTTTATAAAGAGATATGTAAGAGAGGGGATATGACATACCGTGAAATAGATGGGATCGGTTCGCCATATTGGAGAGTGTCTGACAGATTGTTGTTTGTGTCGAGGACTTCTGTGTATAGAAATTTAATTTTAAAAATATTTTGAACTGAATTTTGTACGGTTTTACGTTTATTTTAAAGTGAAACCATTATGGCTTCGTGTGCTTTTGTTTTGTGTCTAAATAACAGTCGAAATAATTAGAAAAATTTAACTGGAATATCTTTTCATGGGTTAGTATGAAATTGTAAACAGTGTACAGGGCGGTATTACTTCCGTTTTTAGTGATGCTGCGAGTAATAAGAACAGGTAATCTTTTTAATTTGGTTTATGTGGTTGTAGATTTCCTAAAGATGTTGAAAGGAGAAATGCCTGGATACAGTTCGTAAATAGTGTGAGAACTGGGGACCTTCAAAACATAGCAAATTGTGTTCCAAACATTTTGCGGAGGACTGTATAGATAGGACCTCATTAGCTTTTGTCCGTTTGCGTGAGATTGCTATTGCTACAATTGGTGAATCTCAGGTAACAATAATTATAACAACAATAAATAATTATTATTATTAATAAATATTTATTAACAATAAATATTTATAAACGAAGTAGGTTATTAAAATAATGTAGGTAATATTCTGAATTACACCTGGACATTACACAGTACTTTTGTATACAACTTCAATTGTACATTTCACTTGCTTTCATTTGCAAATAAATAAGTTTGTATAGGTGTGAACAAAGAGATTTCAACTAGAAGGTTCTTGATATTTTATATAAAGTACTAGTTTTTAATTAAACACATTTTTGTTTAGACCATTCTTTAAATATGTACTATTTGACATTTTTTATTGATGTAACAGCAGCAGTTCTTTGCCTTTCAAAATATGATTTATGCTCTTTTTTTATAAAGCTACTTACTTTGTGTACAAAATGAAGGTTTATATATGTTATGGTATTTTAGGTTAATGAAGTTTCAGGACTTTTTATGAATAACATTTTTATAAAACTAATATTAAATGTTTTCAAATGCAGTCAACTTAAGATTCACACCATTTACATACTTGTATATTAATTAATACCAGATATATCTTAAACTACTAATTTATTAAATTAAGAAAGCTCCTTTTTCTAAACCTATAATATATATATATATATATATATATATATATATATATATATATATATATATATATGTATTATTAAATCTTTGAAAATCTTTGATATTCTGATATTTACTGTTTTGTTTTTTCATACAGGTGCTACATATCCAGGATAATTCAAAAATTAGAGTACGAAATGTTTACCTTAAATCAAGATGAACGCCTCAGAAGTCACCAGTTTAAACTTAAAAAAAGAGAATTTTTCTACAAGATCAAGATAGAACTTTCTACCAAATAGAGTTTTCTAGAGCTGGAATAACCTTAGTGATAACATTGTATCGGCCCCTTCTACCAACATGTTTAAAAATAGACTGGATCGTTTTCTATTATAGTTGCAAATTGTTTGGATATATTATATATATATATATATATATATATATATATATATATATATATATATATATATATATTACAAGTGATTTCAATTAAAAAATAATTTATAAACACGTAGAAATTATCAGGTATAGTGGTCTCTATTAAAAATCTTTGTTTTTTCTAAAGAATATTTCGCTATTTATTTTCTAGCTTCATCAGGAGTACAATCTAAAACCATTACAAAAATGGCGTACAAATACATTTAAAAAACACTTACAGAAATTAAAAATTTCACATATAAAAATTGACATTGAAGTATGTAATAAATGTCATGATTAAATTTTCTTAGGCACGTTAGTCACAGTAATATAATTAAAAACTTAAAATGACTTTGGGAGTAAACACAAAAATAGCAATAAAAGAAACGTTAGAAGAATGATATTTCTTTGATGAATTATTAAGGTTGGTTGTTGTTAAGGTGAATATTAACTATTTCCAATATTTATAAATTTTGTTCAATATATAGGGAACATATATAGACACATGTGGGAAGTTGACTTCCCACATGTGTCTAGTTTCTATTTTCTAGGTACCAAATGTTGAAGAAACATAAAAAGCCTTATATTAAAATCTCTATTTTACAACACTACTGCACACATGTATAGTTGGTTGCCTGACTATAACCAGATAATTTTCTTTCCACAGTTCATCTTATATACATAATTTTAAAACAACAATATTGATGGTTGATACTGTTATATTAATTTATTTTACTTTAACAATTTTAAATAACGTTGACTTTTGTCTTAAGTAGACACATACAGTTATATTGACTGCTCTGTTATGACTTCCGTCCTAACTTGTCCGTTACTTCCATAAAGTCCTCGTAGACACACCGTCTCAGCACTAACAACTTCAAGTGGAGTCATATGTCGCCATGTTACCTAATCCAACGGTAAATTTAGCAGGTGGAGAAATTTTATTAAACATCTTAATATTTTATAAGAAATAATGTAAACCAAATGTAACTAATTATTTGTTAACGGGTTTTTACCCATGTATTTAGTGGCTACATTCATGTACACTTTGCATTAACCTTGGTTAAAATTTAAACTTCATGTTCTTTTTAATTAAGTGGTTATACAATTTTTGGGACACTGATGACGGAATATGGATTCCGAAAACGTTTTGTCTAACATAGCCCGTTTGGGTTTTTAAATATATACCTTTTACAAACATATGGTATACAGCCAACTACAGGAATGTAGATTCCTTGTGGATTTTTGTGGTATCTACTGGTAGGTCACTTATGTAGTTTCTTTGTGTTTGATTATAATAGGGAGCTATCTCTCTGCCCTTGCTTATGTGTAATAATAATAAATTGTGTGATAACAGTAGTAGAAAACTAGTTCTTGAATTCAAATTGTTTAAAAAAAAAATAAAATAAAAATATTGTTTAAAATTCTTATAAAAATTTTTAACATCAATATAATAAAGTCTTTTCATTTTTCTAATTTTTATTCGAGGGCTCGATATAACATCATATTGTGAGCTAGCTTTTGTACCAGCTTTATACATAGGATGAGGGTCTCAAACTTTAAGGTCTATATCGACAATCGCCTGTTGAGTTAGTCATTGTTGACAGTTGCAACAGCTAAAAAGTAGTAGGTACTTTCAACTGTTTAACATATCTCACGACTTTGACACTAGAAAAGATAATTTTAACTATAATATCCCTTATCGTAGGCTCGCATTACTGGAAAAAGGATCTTTGCATGCAGATATAACAATTCTTTAATCACCTACCTATACACAATTACTAATTTTATTAATTGTACATGGAAGTAACATATCTAAATGTATATAAACTTATGTAAGTGCACTTGCTTATTGTTGTTTATTACTTGAATGTAAATGTTATAATTTTAAAACGATATATCATTAACTTGTTTTGTACAT